TAAGGGGGGGGGCCATTGGAAAGAGGGGGGTGGGGGAGGGGGGTTGCCATTGGAAATAAGGGGGAGTGGCATTGGAAAAGGGGGGGGGGGGTGCTAAAGACCAATTACTCAGGATGAGCTAGGACTCCTGTAGGGCAAGCCTATTTCGAGAATTCTGCAAACGAACCGGCCTCCATCCTTGCAATTTGTGGGAATATTTCAAAATAGCGTGCGCGGTGCCAAGGCGAGAGCCGAATCCTGAACACCAGATCCCTCCATCCGTGCAGCTGCTGAAAGTTTTTAACACGATGTGCCGCCAAGGCGAGAGCCACGGTAGGAACACGTTTCCCCTCCATCCGTGTTATTTCTGGAAGGTGTACGCGTGCACCTAGGGAATCTTACTTCTGACTTCTGGAATAAGCAACTGGGCCTGAAGGTCGATCTGGCGGAGCAGGAATGATTGCGTGAGCAGAGGAGTTGGCAACTCCTAGATCTTCAGAACTAATTGCGCCACGCATGCAGCACTTCATATATGGATTGAGCCACGTAGGTTTTCTTTTCGAAACATAACAATTAGGATCCCCCAGCTTTATCGGTCCACCTTGTTGTGTTGCAATGTACGTCTGATTCTGCCCCATCGTCCATCCTAAATATGAATCCATACCATCTCAGCCCAGCCGGTATCGCCCTCGCCCCCGCCATCCTCTGCAACAAGTGCTATTCGCGCACACTCGTTTATCAAGCATCGCAAGTTGCCAATCATATTTTGCAACAAATGGGACGAAGTGCGCACGCGCGCGTCGCCGCGCGCGCCTGCCGAAATCCTGCAGGGGCCGTCGGTGTCGGGAGGATTTCAAAATCGAGTGTCCAAAACAGAGGTAAAACGCATGGTGTCACAACACAGGTTTTCAAAAAAAAGCGAGCGCGCGCGCTCTTGCGAATCCTGAAGACAACCATCGGTTTTTCATTATTTTCAGAAAATGCTACCAAACGGGGTTTGCGCGCGCATGTCGAAATCGTTCGAACGCCCTTGTTCGCGTGCCGTCGCGAGTCCTTCTGCAAATAATGAGACGAAGTGCACACGCGCGCGCGTCGTCGCGTGCCGAAATCCTTCAACCATTTTCGGTGTCGTTGCGATTTCAAAACTGAATGTCCAAAACTCATTCAAAAACGCATGGTTGCGCAACATCAGTTCTCAAAAAAGCTTGCGCGCTTTTGCGAATTCTTAAGAACACCACCGATTCTCAACATGTTCATGGAATTCTGCCAAACGAGCCCCTGGGGGCGCATGCCGACATCATTCGCACGCCCTTGCGCGTGTGTTGGGGGGGCACGATCCGTGTCAAAATGAACCATGCTGGCCACTCTCGCGCGTCGGCCGCGCCCGCATGTCGCGAAGTCTTACCAAAACCTTCATCACCAACGCGAGGACGCCGTCATCGTCGCCGGCGTGATCAGCATCGGCGCCCGCACTGGCCGTGCCTTCGTTGGTGCGAACATCGTCCCCAGCATCGCCACTATCATCCCCGTGTCTAGCGTAGTCGGCGTTGCCGTGATACCGCGCCTGCCCAAGTCGCCGGCTCGCAGTGAAGTGCCCGCTGGGATTCGCCCAGCGGTCAGCGCCACCGCGGCCGCGTCGGTTGCGCCAAACTAGCTGGCCGCGGCGCGCGCGTGCTAGGGTTGGCGCGGCCGCAGAGATGCACCAGCCACCGCCAAGCATGCATCGCAATTGACACCGCAGGGTTTTGCAAACGAACTTGCGGGTGGGTGGGTGGGATGCTTGCAAGAGCATGGGATGTGTCAACTCGTTTGCCAAAACCAGTTGCACAGCACAGAACGTACAACATACATTGTACAACATAGACTACAATCTACAAAACACAGCATAGATCGCACACCATCTATTTCACCACATCGGTGGCACACCATAGACTGCACCAGTGGTGGTCCACATCGATGGCACACCATAGACTGCACATCGATGGCACTACGTGATGCAATACATGTGGTCCACATGTATTGCATCACGTAGGTTGCGCCGCATAAATTGTGTCACATATATTGCACCGCCTATAGGTTCACATATCTTGCCCAACACAGATGGCTAGCAACACAATGTTTGGAGCCCGCACTGGCTAATATTAAGACGAAAGCGTTGCGCCAAGGCGAGAGCCGCAGTTAAACAGCGACTGGCCTTCCGTCTATATGCTTTGATCGTGATGCGTCGCAAGGACGTCCCAAGCGAAATGCACAACCCCGCTTACGGATAGATCTGGTTATATCACAAAGGGGGAGATCTTTATACGGAGAGTGGTTGAAGGGAGGCAGCAGGGGGGAGAGGCATGAGAGAGGAGGGAGGACGAGGAGGAGATGGGGATGAGGAGGGAGAGGATTACCAAACTCGCTACAGGCTTAACAGGCATCCAAATCCACCTTCAGGGAGTGGGCGAAAGGAGGAATGATGAGGGAGGGTGTTTAACTCGACCGGGGCATTGCGTCAGCGTGCCCCGATGGATCGATAGGATACGCAGGAGCCTCGGGTCCCACCTCTACCGTGTAGAAAGGACCTGCTGTGGCCCATGGGCCCTCACCCCAAAGGCCTCCCCGTGGTCGGGTGCTGGCCCTTCCACAGGCGATTCACCCTGCTCTGTGTAGTGGCGCGGCGGCAATTGCATTCGTCCCTGCAGAGACCCTGCCGACGCTGCTGAGCGCCGCAGGCGCACATTCTGCAAACCGCATAGCCTGGTAGGCTTCATGTCGATTGATCTGTGCCAGCTCTGCCGTGAGAGCCGCGTCTGGGCCCTCAGGTGGGCCTCCCGACCTTGCCAGGGGTAGTCCGGCCTCCTCAGAGGCCTGGCCTCCTCAGAGGCCTCTTCCGCTTCCCCGATCCCCCCACGACGGTCCATGACCCCAGTGCCCGCCACACGAATACTCGGGGCCTGCAGCGGCCCGTCCTCAGCCGTGCAATTGCCTCCAAGGTTACGGCTAAGGTTTCCGCGCGAGGTTGCAGAGTGCTTTCGATTTGCTTCAGCGGGCGCAGACCATTCTCTATGTGCTATGTTGGATATGCTAGAGAGGCTGCTCCTAGCATTGCATCGCGGCCTTGTTGCCCTGAAGTGCTTCATACCAGTGGTTCGGCATTCGACTACTATAGCATGTGCCCTCACGTTGTTGATCCGCACCGCCTGTGGGCCCCGCCTAACTCCGAAGACAGGTGCCAGGCCCTATCGGGCTGTCCTCCGGCCAGTGCCGCCGATACGGGGGGGGTGAGAGCGAGTTTCGGCGATTCGGGGCCCTCTTGCATTGTCTAGGGGGCCTCTGGGGCCTCTCTTGGCTTCCTCTTGGGCTGTCTTAGGCGGTCGGGGCTCCGGAAGTGAAGTTTTCTATACCTCCCTGTCCCCGGGTACCGAAAAACGTCGGAAATGACATCGGAAATAGCCCCGGGTACCGAAAAACGTCGGAAATGACGTCGGAAATAACGTACGCCCCCCCCCCTGCAGAGCGAAGCTTGAGCGAGCTCAAGTCCACGCTCTCAGAAACTCACACGCCGGATCGGCGGATTTCCACTGGTTGGTATGCGGATTCGAAAAGCGCGTGCAACACCTCAGACCGCGTGCGAAGCCATCCACTGCATCTGATCTGCGCAGTCAGACCAAATCATGAGCGGCACCATTCCTGCTTGCATAGTCATGTATACCGCGTGCAGCTCCGCTCTGAACATGGACCGTTCATCCCGCGGGCGGGGAAGCAGCCGGTGCACGGCGAGTGCTTGTTCTCCGCAGTCGTCGACCTGCACGAAAGACATTTCGCTCGGCTAATGGCGGCGTGCCAGCTGTGTAGCAGCGAGCCGTCTGCGTAGACGTCCTCCGCAATTACTTCTGAGGCCTCACTTAGCGCGTAAGTCCTGTCAGAGATGCCAAGGTCGGGGAGCTTAGTGCTGGGGTCCTGTTCTGTTTTTTTCCCAGTGCTGATGGCCTCTGGCTGCTGCGCTTCTGGATGTTTAGCCTGCCGCCGCGCGGCCTGGCGCGCAGGGCAGCAGAACAGACTCAACGCCCATCAAACCACCCCAACCCAACCCGAAGGCCCCGATTCGCCCTCCATTTCCAGTGGGGAGGTGTCGGGGAACATGGGGAAAAACACACATGAAGCCCGTTCCCCCCCTCCCCCCCAAACCTGAAATTCGGGTCTCCGGGTTTGGGTTGGGGTGGTCTGGTAGGTAGTCATAAACGATGCTATCAGTCCTGTCTCTACTGCACGCGGCACACCCTGCCGCTGGTGGCTGCCCCCTTCTCGAAGAGGCGCTCCTGGCTCCACGTTCCGCCCACGGACAAATCGTCCGAGCTCGTGCGCTGTGCTCCGACGTCCACGTTTTTGTGACACCGGTTTAGCGAGCAGGGCCCGCACGAGTTCGATGCAGATTTTTGTATTTCAACCTCAGCTCCCTCGCGCCCGGTTCACTCCTGCAGGAGTTGAACTTTGCATTCCTTCAATGCCTGCGCGTGCAACCACCAGGCGTCGACAAGGCGCAGGTCGGCTCGGACTGAAACGATGGTGAGCGAGAGTGCACCTGAAACTGCCAGCCTAGCCTTCCTGCTGTGGCTCAAAACGCGCCCGCGGGTCCTCGAACCAACGTCCAAGGTCGCTGGGACTGCGATGGCCGACTGCTCCAGCGCTTCTAGGCGACCGAAAGGTGGTCTGCGAGCGCGGGGCCACGCGCTGCTTCCTTCCATGCATGGGCCCGCTCGGCTCTTGGGCCCGAGTTTGCTGAGTGGGCGGGGTCTGCGCCCTCGCCTGACAGCACAGGTGGCGCAGATCGCCCGGCTGCACTGCCTCCGAAAGCGCTGGCCGCTGGACCGAGGCCCCTCTGCCCTGGGGCGCTTCGCTGCTGCTGGCGTCCGGGGTCCGCCTTCGCGCCCCCCTTGGCCTCGGGGCCGTCAGGCGTCCCTCCGAGGTGGACATCTGCTTCGGTGGGTCCCCGGAGGCATCGGGGGACTGATTTTGAGCGAGTTTCACGTGGCATGCCCATGCTCATGTCCTCGCAGTCTGGATGCCGAGGCGCGATCCAGCGGATGTGCGATCCCGTGTGCGCCTATCGCGCGGTTTTCGCGCGAAGCCGCCCTGTGTCCATGGGGTGGCGGCCTAGGAGTCCAGACCGCGAGGAAGAGGGATGAGGATCAGACTCGGAGTTCCGCACGGAGAGTCTCCTTGCCTCAGCATGCCCCACGTATCCGAGGGCGGTCTCATCACCTCGCGCCGCCTCAGGCGGCGCCACTGGGGCGCCCACAGCACCCCCTCGCCTGTCGGTAGGTCACGGTAATGAGATGTAGCGACGGCCCAGCGACTTAGCCCGATGTTCGCCGAAGAGCGAGCAGTCCAGTCGTTACCGTCAACTTGACGCTCGTTTGCGCCGTCGTCACGGTGACATCCCGTCAGTCGAGCCTCGGGTGCCGAAAGACGGAGAAACCACGACGCAACCACAGCGCAACCGTGAGCCCTCCTTGGAGGGGTCGCTATCAGCAAATGCGCAGCTTCGAGGGCCTTGGCGCCGTCAAGCCCACGTGCGCCGAAGCACGAGAAGCGGACTGGGCGGATCTGCCCTTCCCCACCGCCACTTCGACGCTGTGACCAGCGCCCCTCCGCCCCCTCGCGTGAGGGAGGAGGGGCTCCTCGAGGAAGGGCCTCTTGCAGCTTTGCAGCCTCTTTGGCGTCTCCGATGGCGTTTTCCTCGCCGCGGCTGGATCTGCCTTGGAGCTCTGATCCAGGATGCCGCGGCTGCGGGTCTGGGGGTTCGCGCATCCCAGGGGAAGGTGTGGCCGATGGTCGGTGGCTTTGGGCGCTTCGGCGTCCGTGGGGGCGCTCCTGCCGCCACGGCGGTAGCCGCTTCCAAAGCGTGGCCAGAGCGCCCCCCTGGAGAGGTCCAGGGGCCGATTCGTTCTGGAGGTCCTGTACTTCAGTGTGTGGACGAGTCGAGGCGTAGGTTGCTGGTCATACTTCGCCTCGGGAGTTCAGGCCCTTCGACCACGACAAGCAGTTGTTCATGATTCAGAACCCATGCTCTACGGAAATTGTTGGTCTGGTGAATCAATCCAAGCTGAGGCCCAGGAAGAGCTCGAGCGCCCATGGGTACTTCAGATCCTGGCGCCACGGGCAATGTTTCTTGGATTTCGCTCACTGGAGGCATGTTTCGGACCCTTGGTGTGCAAAGCAGTGACCCAGGACTGAAAACATGCCGTCCCATGAGTGGGTTTATGAGGTCGAGAAGATCAGGGACCCGCGTATTCAGTACATCACGACGTTGGAGGTCTGGGATGGCAGGGAGTAGAGAGGAGGAAGAGGTGTGAACGAAGCGCAGCAACTTCTGTCAAGGTGGGTATGTTCGGGGTCAGTGAGACGGTTCCAGCCTTGCTGTGCAGATGCAACGTGTATGTCAGGTGGCACAGCAGTGCGCAGAGTGGACGTGTACTGAATTGGGCGTGGAGTGCGCAAACAATCGCTCGACCCAGTTGCATCCGCTCTGAGACGATGGGACCACATCGAGCGACTGTGCGGGCATTCAACGAGCTCAAGCAGCACGGCCGGATTGCCAGCGACCTTGAAACGATGGAGGGCGATGCGCACGCTTCTTGTTGCCTCCTGGGGGCGCCCTCGTGGCCACGGCTGGGTTGGCCCCGCTATCCTAGTCCGAGTGCGCTCCGGGGGCAGGCCCGGGGGGTGGTGGTTGACCGAAGGTCCTTCGGATACAGATATCCGGTCGTTGCGAGACACGCACGACCGGTGTTTCTGCCTCTTTCTTAGCTGTGCAGACCCTTGCGGATCGATCTGGCTCAACATGCGGTCGAGACTTCGAGTCGTGCGTTTCTGCGTCGCCGCTCTTTGTAGGACGCCGGGGGCCCCCGGACCTGCGGAGGATCGGGCGGGTGGTACTGGGGTGACTTGAATGGCGGGTGCAGACACGGGCCCTAAAGGGACCCTTCAGGGTCCCTGTTGGTGCTAGCAGGGGCCCAGGGGCCCCAAAGGGCTCTCTGGGCCGGTAGGTTCGGTCGTGTCGTGTCGACTGGCGGCGACCCCGCCAGCGGCGTTTAATTTTGAACGCCGCGGGCGACCCAGAATCGTTCGATGCGGAACGATTTGGACGTTTCGGAAACGGCCGATCGTTCAAGGTTGAACCACGATCCGCGCGGTGTCCGAAGTCAACGCCGAAGTCGGCACGACACGAATCTAATGTAGGTCACCCCCCATTACCACCCGCAAGGGAGGAGCAGGAAGATTGGGCGTTGTTTGATGGGGGGGCGATCGCTGGGGAGGGCGGCGAGAATGGGCGCGCCTTTCGTGCACCTTCGGGTCCCCCGGAGGTCCCTGCAGGGCCCCTGTCCTGCACCCTCGATCTCCCCGTCCATCTGTCCAAGAGGCTTACGCTTAAGTCGGGCCTGTCCCTCTACAGGAGGACTATTCAAAAATAAAGAAAATCAGGGACGATTATATTTTATTGAGTTTTTTTGTATATTCTTTCTGACTGTTCTTTCATTTGTCGTGCAAGATCCGCCTGTAGGGGGACACGCCCGACCTAAGCTTACGCCGTTCCGCCGGCCCCCAGAAGAGGCGGGGAGTCCGCGGTTGAGGCGTCGTGGGCTTCTTGGGCCCTATTCGGGGACTCTGGGCGTCTTCGGGGCTGTTCGGGGGCCTGGTGGAGCCTCTTGGAGGCAGCTTCGGAGCCTCCTGGGCGCCGTTCGGGGGCCTCTCTTAAGCCTCCTTGGGGCCTCTTGGGGCTCATTGGGAGCTTCATTCGTCGCCCCCGCATCCGGGCTCCCGGGGGCCGAACTCGGCAACGCACCTCCCGCCATGCTTTTTCTCTTCACGAGGCGAGGGGGAGTCTGGGGACGAGGGGCGCAGGGGGAGGAGGAGCGGCAGCAGGAGAAGGGTTGCCAGCCTGGCACATATCCCTACCCCTGTGATTGGCATCGCCTCGGCTCGATGCCGATCTTCAGGACCTCGGTTTTCGAGGGCACGCCCCTGAGATCGTCATCGCCCTAGGGGGAGGGATAGGTTCGAGGCTGGTGAGGACAGGAGGAGGATGAGCGGCAAGAGGAGGAGGCCGATGCGCCTCACCTCTCGCAGCCCGCCGCCAGGGACCGGAGCCCGAGGGCCACGCCCGCGGCGCTGTCGGGTGCGGGGAGGGGTGAGGGCCGCCGCCTTGCCCCCCGCTGCGGCAGGCGGGCGTGTCGGACGGTAGGGTGCACTTGCCGCCGTGAAGTTTTGCTCCGATGCGAGGCCTTTCGTCTCGAGGAGGGCGCGGCGGACACCAGGGCAGATGCCGCCTCGGGCACGGGGGGGCTCGCCGTGGAGTTTGCAGCAGTGCCCGCTTCGTCTGCTGGGTCGCGGGACGCAGGGTTTGCTGTGGTTTTGCCGCTGTGGAGGTGTCCTCCACTTGGGCGCGTCGAGACCAAGTGGCGTGGCGACATATTTGGTATGTATGCATATATATATATATATATATAGATATATAAAGGGTCGCCCCCTGCCATTATACCTTTTCGCCTCCTCGTCCTCGACTGCTGCTTTTCTTTTGTGTCTCTCTCTCTCTCACTCTCTCTCTTTCTCGTTCCTCTCTGTCTGTCTCTCTCTCTCTCTCTCTCTTTCTCTCCAGAACCTGGTGTTTTCCAAATCTTCCAGATATTCCAGGTCTTCCCAGAGACTACCCAGATGAAAAAACATATGTTTTCCAGATTTCCCAGATATTCCAGATCTTCCCAGACTCTACCGAGGTGAAAAACCATGTGCTTCCAGATGTTCCAGATATTCCAGATCTTCCCAGCGACTAACCAAGTGAAAAACCATGTGTGCCTCCAGATTTCCCAGATCTTCCAGATCTTCCCAGAGACTACCCAGGTGAAAAACCATGTGCTTTCCAGATTTCCCAAATATTCCACATGTTACCAGTGACTACCCAGGTGAAAAACCATGTGTTTTCCAGATTTTCCAAATATTCCAGATCTTCCCAGAGCCTACCAGGTAAAACTTCAGGTGTTTTCCAGATTTTCCAGATCTTCCAGATTTTTCCAGGGAGTGCGCTGCAAGCTCAGAGTAGTCTCTGGGAATATCTGGGATATCTGGGAAGTCTGGAAACATACATGTTTTTTTCACTTGGGTAGTCTCTGGGAAGATCTGGAATATTGGGGCAATCTGGAAAACACATGTTTTTTTTTTTTCACTTGGGTGGTCTTTAGGAATATCTGGAATATCTTGAAAACACATGGTTTTTCACCCTGGTAGTCTCTGGGAAGAGTTGGAATATCTGGAACTGGAAGACATATGGTTCTTCACCTGGGTAGTCTCTGGGAATATTCGGAATATCTGGAACGTCTGGAACGCACATTGCTTTCCACGTGGGTAGTCTCTGGATAATATTGGGGATATATGGAAAATTTGGAAGCACACATTGTTTTTTGACTTGGGTAGTCTCTGGAAATATTGGGCATATCTGGAAACTTTGGAAGCACGCATTGTTTTTCACTTGGGTAGTCTTTGGAAAGATTTGGAGTATTTAGACAATGTGGAAACCACCGCGTTTTTCCAATGCCACCCTCCCCACCGATCCCTGCTTTTGTTGTGAATATCTTTCTCTCTCTCTCTCTGTCTCTCTCTCTCTTTCTCTCTCTACCACCCTCTCTCTCCTCTTCTCCCTCTGTGGTAAAATTCCTGCTGCGAGGCTTTCCATTTGGATCCCGCAACGGATTCCTGCTGTGAGGCTTTCCACTCGAATACCTTTGTGGCGCTTTCCAAGGCGTTTTTGTTGTGAGGCCTTCCAATAGAATCCCTTTTGGGATGTTTTCCAAAGGATTCCGATGACGAGGATTTCCA